CACTTGTACCAGTTGTACCTGGTTGTGTTCCTCCAATGATCACGATTTTGACTTGAGCAGTTATTTCATCCGAAACAAGCAGAGGGGCCCAAACCTCTTCCACAGCAGCCTCTCTGAACACACACTGACAGCAGGGGGTGGCAGGACCCAAAAGGACCCTCAGGCTAACCTAAGTAAGAACCAAGGTCCTAGGCCTTGAGGGTGTTATGCTGAGCGAAATAAGTCAGGCAGAGAAGGACAAATATCATATGTTTGCATGTATAGGAGGATTAGGAGGAACTTGACGGAGGAACAAGGGGGAGAAGAAGGGGGGAAATGGTGGGGGAAAGGGAGAGAGGCAAACCATGAGAGACTCTTGAATGCTGACAAAAACTGAGGACTGATGGATGTGGGGGGGGGGATGGGCATGGAGGAGGGCACTTTGGGGATGAGCACTGAGTGTTATGTAGAAACTAATTTGACAATAAACTATTTGTAAAAAAAAAAAAAAAAAAGAGTTAGTATTTATTAAGTACATCCTATATACCAGGCACTATGTTAACTTTAGTCAAGTAAATTTATTTCTTTCCTAAAAGAAAAATTGAGAAGGCATACAAAGACTTATAAAAATATTCTACATCAGGGGCTCCTGGATGGCTCAGTAGGTTAAGTTCATGTCTAGATTCCGGCGCATGTCTTGATCTCACTCTTCCCAGGATTGAGCCATGCATCAGGCTCTGCACTGACAGCGCAAAGCCTGCTTGAGATTCTCTCTTTCTCTCTCTCTGGCCCTTCCCTGCTTGTGTACTCTCAAAAAAATATATTCTATATCAGGATCATTCATAATAATGAAGAAATATAAATAGCAATGGGGATTAGTTAAATAATTCGTGGACATAGCTGTGTAATGAAATGCAATGCAGGCACTAAAATGACGAAAAGAGGACATTCAATGACATAAACAAGTGGCCATTTCATTTCTTAGGAGTGATGGAAAGCCATTGAGCAATAGCCATATCATGAGGGAAAACTTGTAAAAAGCATACGGTTATTTGTGAAATTACTCATTTATTATCTCCCTTCTCTCAGAGCTTTGAAGACCCTCCAAGAAATAAAAGCCTTTAAGTCTATTCTTTGAAGGATCACTTATTTCATTTCCGTAAAAGAAGGGGAAGTAGATCTCCTTATCAAAACAAAAGTCATCTACCTGGCAGGGGGGAAGGTAGATGCAGGCTGTGTGTGTGCTGCTTGGATGTGGTGTGCTGTGGGGCAGACCTGGGGAGGCTGTGTGTGTGCATTGAACTGGGCTGTTCATTTACAGGCATCTACTGCCTGGACAGCCAAGCCTGGGCATGAGAAGCCCATGCCCTCAGGTAGAAGAACATGATACTTATTCCCAGTGGTTGTAGTAGATGGGCGCCACCAATCTAGAAGGAAAATGAAGTGCTTTTAGGTTTCAAGTCCACGGTCATTCGTCTGGTAGAGAAAGTTCATTTCTTTGGCTTACTGAAGGGCTTCTCAGAGCCCAGACATTTGCCATTAATACTGCAAACGGCTGGGATGAGCTGGTGTGGGTAGCACCTCCAAATACCCAGCACCGAATATGTTCGCAGTAGGGTAAAGGCACACTTTGCGGGTTGTTCTTGCGATGTGAAAGAATTCTTGAAACAGACAACCACTTGTACCAGTTGTACCTGGTTGTGTTCCTCCAATGATCACGATTTTGACTTGAGCAGTTATTTCATCCGAAACAAGCAGAGGGGCCCAAACCTCTTCCACAGCAGCCTCTCTGAACACACACTGACAGCAGGGGGTGGCAGGACCCAAAAGGACCCTCAGGCTAACCTAAGTAAGAACCAAGGTCCTAGGCCTTGAGGGTGTTATGCTGAGCGAAATAAGTCAGGCAGAGAAGGACAAATATCATATGTTTGCAAGTATATGAGGATTAGGAGGAACTTGATGGAGGAACAAGGGGGAGAAGAAGGGCGGAAATGGTGGGGGAAAGGGAAAGAGGCAAACCATGAGAGACTCTTGAATGCTGAGAAACAAACTGAGGACTGATGGATGTGGGGGGAAGGGGGGAGATGGGCATGGAGGAGGGCACTTGTGGGGATGAGCACTGGGTGTTATATGGAAACCATTTTGACAATAAACTATTTGTAAGAAAAAAAAATAAAAACNAGGGGGGAGATGGGCATGGAGGAGGGCACTTGTGGGGATGAGCACTGGGTGTTATATGGAAACCATTTTGACAATAAACTATTTGTAAGAAAAAAAAATAAAAACAAAAATTACATATTGAAAAAGAAAAGAACCAAGGTCCCGGGGACTCAGTTGGTCATTGCAACGTATCCCATAGTCCTCAAAGAGAAGAGCCGGGTCTTCTATTTCTAGAAACATTAGAGTGGAATTCAGGGGAGGGGCCATGCTGCGCAGGGATGCACCTACTCATCTGTGGTATCAGGGGTACTGAGTGAGGCTACGAGAAAAGAAAACACCTTATCAGTCTCTGCGAAGGACGTTCTGGAAGAAATTGCTCAGGATCCTGAGAAACAGAATTGTTGAGTGCCTGTCCCATCTGTCACTAAGAAAGACTTTCTAGGAGTGGTCCAGAGGAGCTGAATGGTGAACAAAAAGCATTGGGACAGGTCTCCACAAAAAAAAAAAATGTTGCAGGAATTTGCTCTTACAACCTTTAAGAACATTAATACATGGCTGCTCTATGGGACCAATTAAAGAAGATGTTATAGTCCTCCCATAAAGTTCAAGGACACCAGGGTGTCCAAAGTCTGAAGGAAACTGCCTGCCATTAGACATCATCAGAAAGATTAAAACCAGTGAGCCAGCAGAGTTATTCTAGAAAAATTACAAATAATAAGTACAGTCCCAATTTTGTGAGGACCAACCTGAGCAGATGACACCAGCATCCTCCCCGTGGCCACAGTTGTGCGAGTTCCAGCCGCTGTGGGGGCAGCGCCACAGGAAGGAATCTTGCCCGGAGCAGCGCACGTTGTCCAGCACGATGGGCCCTGAGCCCTGACCAAACCGGGCACTTCCTGGGGCCGATGTGGCCCAGCCACAGCCCAGTTGCCTGCACACCACGTTGGCGTCAATGGTGTTCCAGTCGTCGTCACACACGGTGCCCCAGGAGCCTCGGTACAGCACCTCCACGCGGCCCTGACACTGGTCACTTCCATTCACCAACCTCAGGGCCAAACCTGATTCATTCCCTAGCAGAAGACAGGAAAATTATCTTTCATTTTGTTACTCTAGGAAGAGTTCCTGACATCTGAGTGGCTCATAAGTAGTACAGGGACCATGACTTCTGGAATCAGTTTAAGGCTGCCCAGTGCAGGACTCTCTGAAGCTTTATCAACATTATTAATCATCCAGGGGCTACTTTTGGTGCCCTTAAGTGTCAGATGACTTATGTATCTTCACTGATGCATTTCTCACAATGTCAGCATATCAATTACTGACCAAGGTCATGGGATACAGGGGTGATGGTGAAAGCCAGACGCATGACCTAGTCCAGAGACCCAAAGAGGAGAAAAACAAGAACGACTTGGCCATTTTCTACACTCCTGACTCACACAACCCAAATCCCATTCCTACTGCATGACTGAAAGAAGCAGGAGAACAGACCCTAAGGAAGATGAGCTACTAGGCTTGAGAGGCAATCCAGGCCATTTTAGGTTCCCCATGGACACTACACTGTCAGCACAAACTGGACACTGAATCAGAGGCCAGCCCAAGAGCAGAGTGCATCAGCACTGACGCCCATGGGAAAGGCAACGCTCGGTGGCAGGGCTGTGAAAATGAGGGCAGCATTCAGCAGAGAGTACATGGGAGAGAACAAAACTCTGAAGGGAAGATCTTCCTTGGTCAGAAATCATTAGCCCTGAGTTTTTAGGAACAGAAACCACCTTTCCTATTAAATACAGCAGAGAAGCCCACTGTCCATAAGGTTCCAGTAGGTCCTAGTGTCGCAAATTGTCCCTCTCTCCTGAGGATTTGAAGGTGGGCCTGGGGACCCTGAGCAGGGAATCAGAGCACATGCACATGGATCTGGTGACTCATCTCTTCCCAAGCATGTATCAGAGTTTGGCCAAGACATGTCACCCAGACACTAAGAGAAAATGGAGTCCTTTTCTTGAAGGCATAGAGGCCCGGCACTAGCATCTGCCCCTCACATGCAAAAACACAGCAAGAGTGAAGCCCAGGCACATCAAAGGAAACCGTGGTAAGAAAAACACTGTGAGCAGCCAGGCTTGGAGCTCTTCCATCCCAATGCTCCTGACGCTAGACCTACTGTTAACGACCTCATTTCGTGAGACACTGACTCTCCTCACGTAAGAGAGGTTGAGCCGGGTTCCTGTCACTTGCAAACAAAAGCATCCTGACTAGTAGATCCCACAAGTGGTACGTGACAGGA